TATTACTTATTCCAATTCCTGTGACGAAGAGATAAACCATGTTTTTTTTTTTTAATAAGAAGACCCTGTACAGGCATAAATTTCGACAGGGAATTGTGTTAACATACATTATATGGTGTGGCTGAAGAATAAAACACCAACAGGTGTCACACAATGCTAACTACGCGCAACGTGCGTGTTGTTGAAAGCTTCGCTGAGCACTTTGCAGTGCTCAGTGATAATTCTTTATCGACAGCCACAAGCAATGTTAACAAAAGTGCACTAATGCCTACAAATGTGTAGCAGGTATGCCCACAAATGTATGTCCATAAATGATAACCTGCAATAGATGTGCAGCAGGTTATCCACAAAAAAAAAAAAAAAAAAGAATGACATAGTGGGTGTTTCTCTACTTCCCAAAAATCATGATTTATGGCTTAGCGGGTACCTTGCATGTATACTTCTATTAGTTGCTTCAAGAAAGTTCGAGCAGGCTCTAGATGGACCACTCTTCCAGCTTTCGCTGCGACTGTGCTGTGCGTTTCGTGCAAGCCTGGCTTTGTTGGTTTTTTTCTTTTTTTTATATAGTGTGTGTACATGCTTCATGAACAGATTTATACACTGGATAGGTTCACTGTATCTTAGGGTTGTACTAGAGACCTACTACAGCAGGCAAGTGGGCACTGGGGAAAGCTGTTCCATTTATTTTGTGCTTTACCTCAAGCACATAACACTTCAAGCCTTTTAACCTAAACTAAACAAAATGATGTTACTGTGTTCACAAGCACTAAAAAACCATCTCAGGCGAACATTAACAGTTTACTCATATTGGTGCTCTGACAGTCAAAAGCAACATTGTGAATCGTAAAAATAGATAAGAATTGGAGGCTAAGCAGCTGGAAGAATGCCTGATGGCAACATACGCTAGGACATGTGAATAAATAGATTGCGTACCAACAGTAATTTCTCGGAAGAGTACAAACGCAGCTGAAAGGACATTGATGCTCAGTAGAGTCACATTTGTTGGAAGAACTATTTACACACTGAGTCAGTGTTCAAGGGTATTTCTTTAAGCTAGAAACAGAAACATGCTGAAGGCAATAATATAACCTACTAGCCCAACTCTTGAAAACGGGGTCTCACTGCAGTCAACTGTTCGACAAGCGGACATGTCTTCAAGATTGCACGCCATATTCCAAGACTTTTTCGCCTCTTGGAGCTCTCATCTTCCCCAGAATCTCTGCCTTTTCTTTTGTGACTACAAGTCAAACTGTTGTATTAAGCACATTCAACACCACTATTTAAACTTTCATTTCCACTGCGAGCAATGTGAGTAAGAATTATGCCAAGACGTGCTCTTACATTTGCTTTCTCTCATGGCATTGTCTGTCGGTGACATATCTTGTGGATACCGTAAAGTTAGGTTTCATAGCTATGCACCAACTAGCCCCTCAGCAGAGATTACCAGTTTACAAACTCGGAATAAGTTAGCTAAAAATGAGCAAAAAGTGACTGTTGGTGAATGATGTCCACAACAGACTGTCACTTGCTGTTAGAAGCCCGATACGCCACGAGTATTTTGCAATACATATGCTAATTCAATGAACTAAAAGATTAAGCAGAATTTCGTACAGGCAACTCCACGATAGACCATATTCATACTATCAATCAGGTGATAGAAAAATGTGTAGAATACAACCAACCCTTATACATAGCCTTCATAGATTACAAGAACGCGTTTGACTCAGCCAAAACATCAGCAGTGATGCTGGCACTATGGAATCGGGGCATCGAAGAACTCTACATACACATACTGAAAGAAATCTACAGCAGATCCACAGCCACTATAGTTCTCCATAAAGAAAGTGACAGAATCCCAATAAAGATGGGTGTAAGGCAGGGAGACACGATCTCTCTAATGCTATTCACCACGTGTTTACAGGAGGTTTTCAGGGCCCTAGATTGGGAAGAGTTAGGGATAAGAGTCAATGAAGAGTATCTTAGTAACCTGCAATTCGCTGATGACATTGCCTTGATAAGTAACTCAGGGGATGAATTACAGCTCATGATTACTGAACTGGACACAGAAAGCAGAAGAGTAAGCCTCAAAATTAATATGCATAAAACTAAAGTAATGTGCCACACTCAGGGCAGAAAACAGAGCTTTGTGATAGGTGGAGAGATGCTGAAAGTTGTAAAGGAATATGTCTATTTAGAACATGTAGTAACTGTGGAGTTGAACCATGAGAGTGAAACAACTAGAAGAATAAGGATGGGGTGGATCGAATTCGGCAAGCATTCACAAAATTGACCGGTAATCTACTACTAACCCTTAATATAAAGGCATGTGACAGTTGCATCTTGCCGGTGCTTACCTACCTGGAGGAATATAAAGAGGGTGCAGCTTAAACTGAGGACAACGCAGTGAGCGATGGAAAGGAAAATAATAGGTGTAACCTTAAGAGACAAGAACAGAGCAGAGTGGGTCAGGGAATAAACCGGGGTTAAGGATATCATACTTGAAATCAAAAAGAAGAAATGGACATGGGCCGGGCGGGCATGCAGCATGTAGTTAGGATAACTGCTGGTCATTAAGGGTAACTGACTGGATTCCCAGAGAAGGCAAACGCATGCATGAGGGGGAGACAGGAAGTTAGGTGGGCCAATAAGAATAAAAGGCTCGCGGGTATAACATGGCAGCATAAAGCACAAGAACGAGTTGATTGGCGGATCATGGGAGAGGCCTTTGCCCTACAGTGGGCATAGCCAAGCTGATGGTGATGATGCCAATCACACTATGCAGATACACATTTTCTTAGTAGTACGAATGAAAACAAAAGTAAACATTTATTTTTTACACAGATATTATATCCAGTCATGAACATGCAGAGCAAAATGAATTTTAAATTACAGCTAAAAATGTGAACCAGGACTGCATCTGACAGGCACAGCCTATTGTAAATATTACATCTGCATCACTAGAATTACTCTTGCTCTCTCCAGCAATATTGAAGAAATTAGAAAAAGCAAAAATGAATAAGGAAATGCTTAAAAAGCAACTGTACATTCAAAACACTATTAAAGTGGTGACTATTTGTGAACCACGAGGTCAACAGCTAGTTTCAGAATGCCATTGAAGAACTACAGTAGACTCTTAGCAAACGGAAATCTTTTAAACACAACTGCTTCCGATACGATTAGTTTCATACTTTAATTCTACAACCTTTTTCTTCTCTCAGTAAGCGGAACTCATGATAAATGAAACATTTCTCTGGTCCCGTCAGGTTCTGCATAACGACAGTCTACTGAATATTGTAGACAGTGAATCACGAGGCCAACAGCACTACGGTAACTCAGCAGCATTTTTTTTAATCCTGCTAATCCATATATTGCAGCACAGGGAGTGGGATAACTTATAGCTCTGTTATGCTGCTAACAAAAATTCCTGTTGAATTTTCACAGAGACGAGTTTACGCATCAAAGAAAGATTCTCTATAATGTGCTCCTGTGCATATGCCTGAGTGAACTGGTTCACGATTGACCTGACTCCTTTGTCCTTTTCATTTGTATGGCCAATGGCAAGGAATGATTGTATTCATAGAAATAAACAACTAAGCAAGCAAAGGAACAGTGTATGTACAACAGTGTATATATACTTGGATAGTGCCAAGGCCCGACATTGTATATCGTGAGGCCTTGGCAACAGAATGTCTAAAAATATTACAGATAAATGACAAAGACACCCCCCCCCCCTTTTTTTTTTTCCTGTTTCGTAAAAGGGCATCCAGATGCAACCGGGTACAAGCACCCTCAAGATGGGACAAGTGGGAAACTGGGCATAGCAGCACTGAAGTTGGAGTGTTTTTTGCAATTACAGATAAGACTTCGGATGAAACCGGATATCGGATAAATCACTGCCAAGGCCGCACAGATACGATGTGCACACAAGTAAAGCCCCCCCCCCCCCCCCCCATTCAAAGTCAACGAAACTGCGTACCGCCGGAGATAAACTACAGTAGAAAATGGATGACCCTTGTGATGCCGAATGCGTGCACGCCAGCCACAGGTTGTTTACAGATCACAAACTCCAAAACCCAAATTGCTTTATAAAGTGGTTAATTCAGCAATCTTGCTTTTTAAATTTGCGCAAACGCTTGTGGCAAAAAGTGGCTTTGAGACTACGGAGTGACATTTGACCTTTTAACTTCAAATTTGTTAAGAAAAAAAAAAGAACTAGGACACATACAAATTTAGCGAATATGCTTTATTCTGTTACATTTTTCACTGATGTAGCGAACCAATCTAAGATACTTATTGAAGGAGAAACATAAGGATTGTTTGTCCGTATTATTATAGCTGCTTTTAGTTGTAATTAGTGAACGCGTTTAAGAGAGCGTCAATTTGGTTTACTTTTACCCCATATGTACAATAATACATGAAAATTTGCTTTTTACGGGGAGTTTAGTGGAGAATGCCTGCATGCTTGCAGCCTTGGTACACTTTTGTACAAATGCAGTAATGGAGAGATGATAAAGATATTGTAACTTTGCACCATGAGTCATAACTGCTGATTAAAGAAGATTTGATATGTCATAATGGCATAAAAAAGTAAACATTCATAAAATAGCTCTCTCTCTGGCCAAATTTTATTGCAACTATAACAAAACAATTGATAATAGTGTTCCTATAATGCGAACACCGGGGAGACAGAAAACCCTGTTTCTTGTGCATTGAGGCCTGCGGTTAAAGGGAACATATGAAATATATTATTTCCTTATGAGAAGTATATAATCAATCTGGCTTTGTAGCAGATAATTTTTTGTTTCATTGGCACCTAAATGACATAGCTTCAGCTAGGTCTTGTAGCTATTTAAGAATTCATTAAGGTTGTGTCTAACAAAGAAACAAGCCCCTCAAACTATTCCCCATCTTGAGCCACTCGAGCACCACTTATTATGGAGTTCACATTAACATTAGATCACTTTGTACATGTGGAATGAAAACAAAATTAGGACACATACTGTTCATGCGTTGTCCACTTAAAAGGGCTTCATACACAGTTGTCACCTCTGCTTCTGGTACGCTGCAAACATTGCCAACTCTAATCCTTTCAGGACCCTAAAAAAAAAAAAAAAGAAGCGAGAAAGAAATAAGCAGGCGAGTTCATCACAAAAACATGAATGAATACACTAACTTATGAATTCGTGACCTAGATGAAAAAAAAAAGTTCCATTTCCGGCCAGATTATTGAACCTTTCCAGCTGTAAAGATTTCCGGTTCAATAATTTAGCTTTATAGCATTATCATTTTGCTTGAAGCCAACAGAGATCTACTTAGAATATGGTGGAAACTCCACCAGGAATTGATAAAAATTCAGCTGAATATTCATTCAATTCGACCTGAACTATCAAAGTGCAAGTCTTTCAGCTGGAAAGATTGATGGTTCGATAGTCCAAATGAAAATTGAACTTTTCTTTTTTTGTCTAGAGACCTTCAGCCGTTTCTATTTAGCTGTTTTATTTATGAGTAGAGCAGGTGAAAAAACAAAATTTTTAGTATGTTAACAACAGGAAGCACAGTTGATTACATAAAAATTGAACACCTTTTCTACGAGACAGTGATTTGAAGTCTTTCCGCCCAACAAGAAAGACGTTGCAGCAGTACATTGAGTGAAGAGTGAGGAAGAAATGGCTTGCATATATGTGACGCTACCTTTGGAATAACTGAATAAACATTCTTATCACACGGGTTTTCTCCTTTTTATTTGGCCGGAAAAATGTGTATTACTGCCAAAGAGAATGAACATTCGGGGGTTAGCATTGCTTTTATGATCACTCAAAGAACTTGTTCTGCTCGGTAAGCATACATTAAAAAGTAAGCACCTAGCACTGCTCTAAGAAGAGGCACAGCACGCAGGAAAGTATGAGGCACACGATGACGTGAACTTTCTCTTTGCCTCAGTCGAACTGGCTTCTAAGAAGCAGATTTTTTTTTTTTCATCAGTCAGAATTATGCAAACTAAAATTAGAATGATTATTGTCACACACTATATTCATAAAATTGCACTGAAAAAACTCAAATTTCTTCATCTTGTTGTGGTCCTTTTTATCCCATTTTAAACATTCAGGACAATGAAAACAACATATCAATTCAAGCAAGGCTTCAAATCAAATCCTCAAAGGCACAGAGCTTTCCCTCCTACAAAGAAAAACTTCAATACTAAATTCAACATTTTTACAGAAGTTAGTGTCAAGCTCTTGCTGTGTTTCTTTTTTAATAATAAATGTTGGGTTTTACGTTTGGAAACCACAGTATGATTATGATGGATGCCACAGTGAAAGGCTCTGGAAATCTTGACCATCTGGTGCTTAACATAAACCTATATCTGAGTACACAGGCTCCAAGAATTTCACTACGTCAATATTCAGTCGCCACAGCCAGGATTTGATCCTGCAACGTTCTCCTCAGCAGCCGAGCACCATAGCCACTATAGACAGCCATGGTGGGTGCTTTCATTGTATCTTGTCACTGCAATGTTTGAACATCACATAGACCAGACATGTTTTAAACTGAAAAGACACAACTGAGCATGCCTGTAGACTAAACACACAAGTCTGTATCCAATAGAAATTCAACGTGCCACAGAAAAGTGAGAGTGCACAGTTCAACACAATAAACCAAAGAAACAGTGATAAAATCGTTTATTTGGGGCTTTGTCAAATGCGAGCTTTTCCCTGACAGCGAACTGCCAGCCGTGACGCAAAGTCAAGTGGGAGACACGGCACTGATGGATACATGTGCTGCTGTCAAAGCTATGTAGTGACATGCACGCGCGTTACGGGAACATACGTGCTCTATATACCTTGTTTCAATTACTCACCACACCACATAAAGGGCAATGTCACAATTTTTCCCATGCTAAGGCAACTAGAATAACAGGTGTCATCCAGTGGGGTGAACATTCAGGCACTTTGAAAGGGAGGTAAGTAATTCAATAGGGATACGAGGCAGCCAGCACCCCTGATGCTCTACCCTTCCCCAACACCGCTTCTGATGCACATGCACGGAAAACAAAAATGGGAACAGAAAGAAGCACAGTACAATGACTGCACACTTTGTTGTGCATCAAGAGATTCCTCAGCCAGCGAATTGAAACCTATTGAATATACTGTGCAAATGTGGGCAGAAAAACAGATGCAAGATTCCAGATAAAAATGAGTGATTCCAGTGCTTACAAATGATAAAAGACATCCATCACTTAATTCTAGCAAGACTGACTCCACAAAGGTGCTGGCATAACAAAGATGCAATTAAAGTCTGATACTTGTGCTATGTGCTGCAATCAGCTCTACTTCTAGTTCGGTATTATTCGAGGCGTGGCATGTTATCAAAACCTTCTCTCTGGCAACGCTATCCATCAATTGTTAAAAAAACTGCCTACTTCAAATACAGTGCAGTAGTATGAAAGAGTGCATGCATTGGGCCTACCACATGTTGAAAATAATGTTGACAAAAATATTTTCTAGGACCCCTGCGCGCAAGAAGGAAGAATAAGTAGTGGATGGCCATTTGCAGAGAGGTGGTGTCAAACAGTTAAAAATAAAGACGTAACAAATGAAGACGTGCCAATTACTCATTAAAGGAGCTTATTCGTTAACTTCTTAAAAGGCCAGCTTATACCTAACTAGCACGCCAATGAATAAAACGCACGCGTACACCCTCCCGCACATGCCTCGAGAAATACGCCTCTCCAGAGAACCGCAGACCTACACCAGACGAACGGCGCAAGTGCTTGCGTCACCAGCAGGGCAAGAGAGGACAAACGTCAGTAGAGGAAAAAGCAGAGCCGCTGGCGTCCGAGGTAATTGTCAGTTTTCCGCTACAGACATAATAATGCAGCCAACAGTCTGGTCTCGCACATCGCCAAGGACGGCGGCGAGTTGAACGTTTTTTCAGGCAAATATTTATAGCTTCACTCGACTTCGGAGCGCTCTCGGGTACGGTTCGAATAGACTCCGAGGCGGCTATTCTGAAACACCGAAATGACATATTCTAAGCTTACCTTGGAAAATCAAGAACGGCTTGACAACGAACTCATTGACTGGATAAAATAAAAACACTGGGTTGGGCGCACGTGTGTTCGGATGCACTTACCGGCAACACCGTCGTCTGACAGCGGATGAGGTCGAAATCCTCCTTGCTCGCAGCACTCATCCACGATCGGCGGAACTCAGGCGCGGCAGGACGAGGAATAAGGCTCGTCCATTTCGAGCGCACGCCGGGCAATTTGGCCGCGACGAGCCTGAGCATTGCGTGACCGTTTGTGCGCGCTTCGGCGACGAAGACTGCGTGCCCGTGCTCACAGTCCGTGCGATGCACGAAGCGGATCAACTGTGTGTGTCGCGTACGCCGGCCGCTCAACAAGTGGCGGAGGATACTGGGAGAGGAGAGCGGTCGACGCTCCCCAGCTCCAACCGCTGCGGGGCCGGCCGGCGGCGACTGTCTACATGCGCACTGGACCTTTTGTCGTTGGTCCTTGCGCACTACGCGCAAACGAACCGAGGGTGCAAGGCACGAAGTCGAAAAGCGCTCAATAAGCGGATGTTACGAAACGGGGTCGAGCTTATCATGACGCGCCCGCTGCAGAGAGGCCGAGCGCCAAATCGGCGACGTCTGCAACCGTGGACGATGGAGGAAAAGCAGTAGGAAAAGGCAGCAGAGCGCGAATGATCTGTCGTCCATGGCACTTTTCTAGGCCCCCCCCCTTGAGTTGATTCACTTTCGCGGCACATTTGCGAGACAAGCGGTTGGCTTCGAAGCATTCAACAGCAAACGAAACCGTTCAAAAATTTCTGCGTGTTTCTATATGCCAAGGCTTTCACGTAAGATGCACGGTCGCTATGGCACCACTCTGGACGAGCGACTGACCAAGCGGAAGTAATGTGCAACGGTGGGATAGCGAAACTTATTTATTTTCTGTACAACTACGCGCGGATGCTGATGGCTTGGAGAAAGTCTACGACCATCTGTAATGAGCATAAGCCTTGTTGGCTTCACACTGCTTGTGTAGCTCGTGCTTCTTTTTGACGACTCTTCCCTGGTTGTTGTACGCGTCCAGCAACTCTTTGGCGAGCTGATCACAGAACGCAACTTTGGGGTCCTTGTCGTTGACAGCATCGATCATCCATTTCATGGAAAGAAAACGAGCCCTGTTTTCTGTCATGGGCACAGGTACCTGATAGGTGATGCCACCTCGCTTGATCGGGCTCAGTTCCAATACCGGGCGGCAGTTTTCAAGTGCCTTGTGCAGGATAGTCACAGGGTTGCATTCGACCTTCCTTTTCGTCTCTTCGTCAGTGGCCCTGTTGTACTTCGTAAGTTGTATACGCTTCACGTTGAACAGTCCAAGTTCAATGTTCTCCCTCGCGAGTGCCTTGTCACCTTTGCGCATCAACATATTTATGAACTTGTCCAGGGTGGCGTCGTAAAATAGAGAGGTCGACACATGGCTCGGCGCAGCCTTAACAGGCACGAACTTGTAGTCTTCCACTTCCCCTGACGTCTCCAGTTCTTGCAGTTTCTTCTTGTCGACGAATGGCTCTACGTGATTCTTATCATAAACGGAAGTTCGCACTTGGGTTGCGAAGACGGGGCATAACTTGCGAGCAACGACACTGCCAGAGCGTATCATGCTCTCACATGCGGAAGCGGCCATTTTTTTTTTCAAAGGAACAGCAATGCATCGACATCACGGAGGAAGGAAAAGGTAAGGAGAGGCCCTGACGTCACTCGTTGTGAAGCCGCGATGAAGCCGGAAGTCGGCCATATTGAGTAGGCAAATTCTCCTCTCTTGTTTTACATATGAATGCGAAGCAGAAGGCGCGACTCCCTCTCCGGCTCGGAAAGCACGTGGGCTGCGCAGCGCGTGTGTCGTGACGATCCGAAACTAATGGAACTGGGCTCATCACTCAGAGCCAGCGGGACACCTTCAGCGAAATCGCTTCGTCCGAGTAATTAGAAAGAGTAACAGCTCGCTGACAACGAAGCAACTACGAAAGAAAGCGCGCTAGATGCACTGACAACGGCGAGTGCTTTCACGTCATTAATTGAGCAACTGTACAGACAACACGATCGGTCGTGCGCCTTCTACGGTTGCATTCCGCCACGCGACTGACGCAGCGTCCTGCCACTGTGTCCGTGTTCCGCGTGAAACTCACCTGCGTCAGCATTCTGCGACCGTGGTGACTTTGAGCACGGTGCTAGTGACAGTTGAACGTGGTTGCTGTTACGTTGAGATTACATGCTGGTGGAGAGTGTACCAAGCGGAACAGAAAAGGTGTTTTAATACGCACATGCAAGTTGTTACTGTACACACACAACACGAAACTACGTATGTGCACATGGTCCTCACGGCGTCTTGCTGGGCTCAACAGCGTCGTCCGTTGTCACAAGCAGGAGCACTGCTCAACCGTCACTGACCTGCAAGGCGTTCGTCGTCATTCAGCTTCGTCATGGTGCCTAACGCCATTTCGCTGAACACTAACTGCTTCATCCGCGTCATCCGCCGCACGACACATGGATATGCACTTGTTCTACGCACTGTTGAAACCCCGTGATGGACAAAGAGATTTGTAAACGTTGCTAAGAGTAATGTAACAGCCAGACGAACACTGCGTAACCAATAACGCGGCGCAGAGCACAGATATTGTCCGCCACGGCTCAGCACGAGACCTGGGGAGGCACACACTCCGCCGCCAGCCGCGGCCGCTCACTGCTAGACCAGCTTCACTGCGCAACACGTAACCATAACAACGCCGCCATTGTGCCTACCGAACATGGCCGCCATGATGTCATTTCCGCCACATTTTTTACGCCCTGCGCCGGCTGGGCATGCCCCAACGTTACTGGATGAGGACAGTTGGAAAACTCGCGCGAGGAGGCGGCCGCAAATCGTCGCCCATTCCAGGTGTCGCTGGCATCGCTTTGCGACCACGTCACGTGACCTCTCCGCCGCGCAGCCGGCATCGCGCGGAGCAGACGGAGCAGCGACGCGGCTAGCAGGGCCTGCGCTTGCAGACGATTTTTTCCCTGCTGGTAATAATGGTTAAGTAACCTAAATTAAGTAACGTTAAGTAACCTAAATATAAAAAAAAGGCTGGCTCGTTGTTTCGTAACAGACCTTATGCATTAAATTTCAACCATGACAGAGCAGACGATAATGTTTACGCTGTTCTGCTTTCTGGAGAGAAAGCGGACGGTGACTCTGAGCAAGCAATTGTTCGCGGTTGAATTTTGCTCCCTTCGGGAGAACGGTCGGCATGCCGAGGTGTGCTGTGCCAGGCTGTCGAAGTGGATATTCATCGGCAACGTCAAATGAAGTGCCCTTCGTGCAGCGACACTTTTTCAAGCCACCGAAAGACCCCAATGTGCTGAGGGAGTGGAACAATGCGGCAGGCCGTGCAAACTTCGAAGTTACTCAAAGATCATACATATGTGATCGTCACTTTGATGAAGCGGACATTTGCACCTCCTTCCAGCATGTTGTGAATGGCGAAACAGTCTCGATTCCGCGAGGACGCTGGGAACTGAAGAAAGGTGCGGTACCGCGGCATTTTGCTAATTGCGCTGAGCTTGATTTGAAGCTTTGTGTAGAAAATGTTGGCACAAATGCAGCAAGCGTGCTAGTGGCCGAAGATGACATTACCCCAGTTCTTCAGAGTGAAAGTGAGACGTGCACTGAAATGCTTGAACACGAAAACAGGGCTGCCTCAAATGCTGAAAGCATGGAAGTCATCATGAAAGAAAGCTCCACAGGTGAACATTGGTTTGGTGGCATAGAAGACTTGCCCGTGTATGGAGCATGGTGTGTGCAACACACGGATGAGCGTGTTGTTTTTACAAACTTCAAGAAATTGGTGGCGTAGTTTTTATTGAAAGAGCTGTCGTTATAAACAAAAACTCGACCGTTGTTGTCAGCGCTAAAGGGAAACTTGTGCCGGAATCGTCTTACACCTTTATTAACAGTGACAAGCTCAATTTTACCACCTTGAAAGACGCAGCGCCCTTTCTTCATCTCATTGAGAGCCTGGGTATCTGCAATGGTTTTGATTCTCGTTTATGTCCTTTAATATCAACTTCTAAGACGGCTGAAAGGTCTGGGAGAACATGGAGAAGCAAGCGATGTGCAGTGCTGTCGGCGAAAGCCTTATGCGTTCAGTGCAGGAAAGCAAAAAAGAACTTGCAGTGCAGGCAGAAACGACGTTCAAGAAAGAGCAAGTACGTGCCTTTGCCATCTGCGCTGTTGAGAAATTTAAGAAAGAAGACTATAAGAGCAACAGTGCTGCGGGAGAAATACAAGAGGGACCTGCTAAGCTTGAAAAAAAAGTTGTCATCAGATCCAAGCAATGCACTGTTGAGCGAGGTTTTAGCTGAACTTCCACCACTGCAGCAACTTGCATTTCGGACAGCACTGCAGTCGATGAAAGCGAAATCTTCAAGAGGTGTGCGGTATGACTGTGGGTGGCTGCTGAGTTGCCTTCTCTTGAAGATTTCAAGCCCACGTGTGTACCGCTTGATGTCAAGAATGAAAATCCTCCCTCTTCCAACTTCGACTAGGCTCCGACAAATAATAAGAGGAATGCCTTGTGAGTTTGGCTTTAATAAGCTCTCCCTTTCCAGCATAGGGGCTTTCATGAAGACTATGAAAGGAGTCCAGTGTTACGGCACACTAGTAATAGATGAAATGAAGGTACGCCAAGCCGTAGCTTTCAACCGTCAAACATACAAGATTGATGGGTTCGTAAATTACGGAGACGGTGAAGTTTCAGCAGCTACTGCTGATCATGCATTGGTTGCAATGTTTGTGCCTCTATTCCACTCATGGGTTCAACCGATTGCAAGTTTTGCAACAAAAAACGCAGCCCCCGGACACGTGCTCGCCAAAATAGTTCTTGATGCAATCGTGCAGCTACGCAAACACAACGCCATAGTCGTCGCAGTAATCAGTGATGGCGCCAGCACGAACAAAGCAATGTGGTCCAACTTTGGCATATCAGGAAAGCTTCACACAGCAAACCACAAAGTTCAGCACCCATGCGAGCCAAATCAAAGCCTCTACTTCCTTTGCGATGTACCCCACATTGTCAAATGCATTAGAAACCATCTTCTTCGACACAAATATGGCATGGTAAGTACCACGTACAGTACAATATCGCAATAAATAGTGTCGCGGTGCCAATCAAAATACATTTTCTTCGCAGCACTACATACGACTGACGGACTTTTTTTTTCCCTCTCTTCTTCTTGCTCATAGATTGGTGAACATCGCATAAACTATGACCACTACCGAGTTTTGCAAGAAGTAGACGGCAAAGAGCAACTCCGCATTGTTCCGAAGCTTACCGCTGAACACGTCTGCCCTGACAACATGAGAAAAATGAGTGTGAAGCTCGCAGTACAGGTAAGATTACGAAAAGCTGCTTTTGAAAGAACTTATAGCTTACCTGATTATTTAGGCAAATTCTTCACATGTGAAACACAAACTTAACTGGTACTGTGAAGTGTTCTCCTTAAGTCTTTTTGCGATTAATAAAATGCCCCTATACGTTTTCTGTCCCCTAGCTGCTCAGCCGAAGTACGGCTATCGGCCTTGATGTGTACCGGAGACTCAAGCAAGATGGCCTGGAAGACTGCGAGGGGACAGCCGCGTTTACCCGCATCATAAATGACCTTTTTGATGCCCTGAACATCAAGCTTCCTCGTTTTGGGATAAGGAGCACATCCAAGGAAATTAAGGCAAGGGCGATAAAATGTGCTACTTTTGAAGAACATTCGCAATAGGTAATGTTAATCAAGAACTGAGGCACTGGGCATATAAATAAAATACAAAACGCCGACAAACATTTACACCAACAAAAGCCTAGTTTAAGTAGACATTTATTTTGTAATTGAAGGAAGGTATTATTGAAAGAAAGACGACGAATAAATGTCTTGGAACTTAGAACTTCTCCTTCCAGATAACTGAAATAAACGTCGATGAGAAGGCGACACGCCGCAAGCGTGATTTCAAGTATTACCAGCTTCCATTTTCATTCAGTGGCACACATGTTTCATTAAAAAATCAGGTTAAAAATAACTTTATGCCTTTCTTCAAAGGTCCCTTTTTTATAGGCGTCGACGTTTGCATGTAAGAGCTAGCTTGCACAAAAAAGTAATGTCTAACATAAACTTTTCCCTTTTCTAGATCATCCAAGATTTCATGATTATCTTGGACTTGACAGAGAGAAACCACGTTGAGAAAGGAACAGCCATGTTCGCATCTCAAGTAACAATGGAGTCTCTAAGGGTGACTTTGTCATCTATCTTGGAACTAACAAATGACCTCCTTGCTAAAGGTGCACGCTACGTGCTCACAGGCAAGCTTAATCAAGACCCCTTGGAGGTGAGATTAGCATAATTCCATAAAACTGCGCACTTACTTCATTGCATGGAAAATAAACAAAACGGTTATGAGGAAGCATAGCGTGGTTTTAAACAGTCGTCATATCTCTATGTGAGATGTGCAATTCCCGCCTGAGACTTGCACTCTATAAATCCTCTTTATGCATTCCATACGCCATGCGTACTTTGACTTCTGAAAGAGATACATACGGTGAACTGACGTACGGCTTTATTACTACCATTACAGAGGTTCTTCGGAATCACCAGGAGCTTTGGAGGTGACGAAGACCATCCGACGATCCTGAGCTTTTCCCATATCTACAGGTTGCTGAGCCTGTACACACCTGTCAAGGCTTCGATTGCAGGCAATGTCCAAGAGGAGCCAACCTTAATACTAGCCACAGTGCAAGAGACGATGAAGCAAGGGAAGAAGCAGCAGCTGGCAACGTATGAAAAGTTGCGTGAGACAATCAGCGCAAAGATTTCCGAGGTTTGCTTGCCTGGAATAAGTTCAGCATCCCACTCGGGACCGACACCGCTTCCGGACCACGGATATGCTTTGCCAGCAGTACAGGAGTGCGTCGTATATTACCTCTGCGGCTACATTGTACATTCTTTTCTGAAGCACGTCAACTGCGCTGCTTGCATAAGCAGCATCCAGTCAACAAACACTAAATTCCCCGCTTCACTACTGACATTGGCAAGAGAATTCAGGAACGGAAGCCTCAAGCATCCCTCTACAGAACTTTACACAATGTTGAAACGCGTCGAAGAAAAACTGTCTCTCGTGCTAGGAGAAAACCATCTGTGCGCCGACATGTTTTGGGATGCGCTGGATGTCATCAAAGACTGCGATGTTCCAAGCGTTGGTTGTTCAGTTCATAAGGACATCCTGACATCGGAGATTGTACACTCATACGTTGTTTTGAGAATGCACTTTTTTACGAGAGATGTTTGTAAGAAGCTGAGTGCTTCTGGCAGGGTGTCTTCTACAAAAAAGAAAGCCAAACTTCTCTAGACTACGCACCAATAAACTACGCAGTGATTTAACATAGAAATGTTGCCAAGTAAAAAAAAAAACAGGAACTTGAACAAATGTGTTTGGTGGCTTTTCTTACAGTTATTGCACAGCAACATGCACAGATCTCAGTGAATTAAGGGCTGTAATGAGGACACGGGAACATCGGAACAGCATTAAATAACTAGCAGGAGTCCCACGTAGAACACAGCCAGCTTACCGGCGACGCATGTCATTGGTTCGAAATTTGGGTATTCGAGTGTCAAACTAAAATGACGCTGTTCTTTTTAATTCGATTGCATTCCTCCCTTCATGAAGAGGTGACGAAGAGATGAAGGAGCTTCTCCAAGCTCCTTAATTCATATCCACTCGATTGGCATTCCGTGTTCCTAGTCATGCACATTCGATACATTTAATTGTCAATCGGAAAAAACAATCTTTACACTTAATAAAACTTCTAGGCGCGTAAAACTTTTTTTTCGCCTTTTGATTTTTTTTTTTTTTTTTTTTTTTTTTTTTTTTTTTAAGCAAGTGATCTTATCTTCTTTCTAACATATATATGTGTGTCGTAGTAGTAATAAATCAGTTGAAAGTCTGCGCTCGTCCTCGTCTCTTGTGTTAGTTGTCTGAAGTTTTACGCGCCTAGAAGTTTTATATGGATTACCAACTAGCCCAATCCCACACTTTACTTAAGTACACTTAATAAAATAGTTGAATTTGCACAATTTAAAAACTGTATCTACTTACAAACGGTATGCATTTAAAAAATACAAGCCGACTGTTACGAACCATTCTGTTAAAATTTGTTTGTAACTACGTGTTTCTTCTGCAAAAGATTGCTGTGCTGGGAACCAAAAAAAAAAAAGTGAGTTGTCTCGTAAGATATACATCATCGTATTATTCTCCCTGACAAGCCACACAGATAACGCACCGCAGCGTAAATGCAGCGGCATTGTATACAATAAAAACATGCGCAAGTTTTCAGAACTCGCGACTGTTTCATTTAGAACGCTTACTGTCGCTTTCAAATAAGAGCATGCTTTTATAGAAAACGCTCAATGTAAGGACTGCACGAGCAATGCGATCTCAAAAAAATTTTCAGGAAATTTCAGTTTATGCTCTCGGAGGCACCTATTCATTAGGCAAGCACAAGCTCATCACATCGAAACACCTGCGGAATGCAGTCAGCACCATCAGCACGTGGCAAAAAGAACCACTCAGACTTCGTTCAGAGCTCCAAGCTGTGTCCACCTTCATCTATGCAGTGGTTGTAGCAGGAAGCTCTCAATATGCATCCGCTAACAAGATTCCTTGAGATATGAAGTGCTCCAAAAACGCTGCGCCGTCCTTCGGAGACGGGGCGCGGAACAGACGACGAGCAGACGACGCACGAAGCTCGTCACATGACCAGGTCGCAAAGCGATCGCAGCGCCCCCGCGTTTTGGGAGACTGTGAGCGGCCACGCCGCTTCCGTGGCGAGCCCATGCAGTTTCCCAACTGGCTCCATCCAGTAACGTTGGCATGCCCTCTCCTTACCTTTTTCCTTCCTCCGTGATCGACATCAACCACATCAACTGCGCCATAACGTAACAATACAATTGTGCTTCAACACTACTACTACTGCTACAAGGCAGAAAAAAAAAAAAACCTTGTCAAGTAGACACATAACGTGCGGAGTGCCCTCTCACGAACACAAATGTATCTATAAAAATTGTAGAAAGTAGTACACCTAAAAATTTATCAACTTTTGCGGAGTCTGCGTTTTGAAGTTTTCAATAAATACAAGTATTATTATAAATAAAAAATAACAATAGATATAACGCTGAATAACTTAAGTTATTTTAGTTGACGAGTTTATTTGTTATTGCAAGTTTTACCTGTACCTGACGCAAAAAAGTTTGAGAAGGTAACAACACTGGTTCAGACGTGGCTGCTGATTTCGTTTTTGACGTCCGTAAACTTGGTGCGTTTTTTCAGCTGCGAAAACAAATTACCTTGAGATCGAGCTTTCAGAGTGACTTGAGCTGAACATATCAGCCCCCGGTAAGTGCTCTTTTAACACAGCTTGCTTTTGTCGATGATCGGAGGCCGCAGTATTTCGTGGCAATCGAGCGTGCACCGCCGTCAGTGGTCGCCTGCGCACTTATTTATGTCGGCGCGTGCCATCGCTTTTATTTATCGCAGGTTCGTAACGATACTAATTAGTAATAACACGTCACATGCCCGCCTCCGTGTTTTCAATCTAGAAAGTTTGCTTGATGACGCGATAGTCGCTGTTCCGTTAGTGCGCCGCCGACGTCGAAGTGGGCCGCGTCGGATCGCACAGCTGCTGGAAAGCAGACACTGAAATCGCTCCTTTATTATTGCAGTCACCATGATGGAAGAAGCGGCCGACGATGCTAACGGAGATTCTACGTTCGAATTCGTCGCCGTCAAAGACGCTTCGATGCCCTCCGACACCACCGAGCCCAGGACAGGTACGGGTGTTCATTCCTCTGGCCATTTTCTGCTTTCGTTTTCTCTTGTGTACTTGGAGACGCGTCGAGGAGCGGCACCTGGCCTTTCGGCACGTAACAGAAGCGTGGCATGTGCGGCACGCTTTGCGAAATGAAAGCGAGATCTTCTGCCCCCAATCTGATTTAAAGCACTGAAGCGGAAAGAGAAACAGAGACAAGAAGCGTTCAAACGTTATCTTGCGGAATGCACTCGTCGCGTGCGAAATTTAAATAGGTCATAGGTCGAATACCGAATGTGGCTGCGTTGGTTATAGTTTAATCGCATGCTTGCCCGCTGGAGGCAGGAACACCTAGAGAAAGCCTGATACTCGTTCGTGGCATCAAATCGGAGCGTATGTTTTCGGTGCAAGCATACGTTCAAAGGAACTGGTGCCTCTTTGTGACCCAGTTGTGTCGTGAAACTTGCGTGCTCTCAGCGAAGTCTAAAGGACACTCAGCTGGCGATGTGGATGGTACACAATTAGTTTATATTGAGTTCCTGTTACTCGACCTGATCCGACTGGAACTGCCATGACAAGCAAAAATATAATATGTGGTTTTATATGAGCGCATTACTGGGTGTACTCTTAGGCAGCTTAGGATGTAGTACAGAATTTTCACATTTTGAGTAAATCGCTGTTGCTTGCTGTTGCCCCATGTTTTAGTATTTCAGAATGAAAAAATAATACATTATTCTGAAGCTTGTGCCAGTTTGTTATCTTGGGATGGTAATTTTAAAAAAATAACAATGTTGGATTGTGCCTCTACGAGACATTACATGCTGTGATGTGCTGAAGACCATGTTTATAAATTGCTGGAACACTGTTAACTATAGGTCGGCAAACTCAATCATAATCTACTCACTTAGGTTGCGTTAAAGTCTGCATCAAAGTATGTCAAGGTGAATTATATTTTGGTCAGTTTGAGTCATATTGACACCAATTTTGAGTGAGTTTGTCTGAGATAAATATTATTAATCTTCAGTCCAAGTGAGCCGTAATCGGTGAATAGATTTTTTAAGTGAGTTTGACCTTTTATTGCGAACCTATGGTCTTGTCTACTAATCCTCGGCATTACTATTAGCCTTATATCAGCATATGTTTATACTGAAGTATATTCACAAATATTTCAATGCACTAGCATTCGTGCACCACCTCAATATTCATTGATCAGAGGCGTGAGCTAGGCAGAGAGCTACCATGACCTACCTCCACAAACTCTCTTGGGAACTTCTTGATTAATATTTTGTACGAGTTACGTATTTCATAAAGATGTCTTACTGGATTTGAACCACTGATAACTTGTATTTGAAGGCATAGGCGTGCCCCTTTCCCAGAAGGGGCGAAAGTTCATTGCAGCAGCCCGCCTCCCTATTAAGTCAATAAATGGAGCAGACTTTGTACCCCCCCCCCCCCCCCATGCACATGCCTATGTTTGAAGGCAGATTAAAAGGCGTATAGTGAAGCATTGCTTATGAGAAACATTGAAATGAAAGAGCATCAAAAAAGCTAATTTTATGCTAGAATACACACAAGTGGACTCACTCAAGCTCGGCTAGAGCCGTGACTCCACTGAGTAATATGTCTGTGAGATTGTGTCCGAGTGAGTCCGGCTGAGGAAAGTATTTGTGAGTCTGAGTGCGAGTAAGATATATTTCGTTAGTGAGTCTGAGTAAGCCCCAATTTTGTTCGCCGACTTTTGCTGCCTGCAGTGTACAACAATATGTCAGACAGCATAACGACACAGAAGCAAGAACGCCTTACTGATACATTATCTGATAATATTGGAATGTGCATGAACCAGTAGCAAACCTAACTGAAGGAAAAAAAAGAGAACAACTACTGATTTGGAGTGATAAACTTAGAGTGCATAGATTGGCTAAATAGATGCATCAAGCTAAACAGAACAGCTTTAATTCCACAGTGTGTGCATTCTGCAGTGGCTGCTTAGCTCACGATTGCTGGAACATAATGTTTGAACACAGTTCTTGAAATCATGAGAGGCTTTGAATTGCATGCGATATGAATAATTGTAATCTAGAACACATGACGAGAAGGCAATATATGTATTTATCGATTTCCTTTTTCTTCTGAACAAGAGTAGAATAAGAACAAACAGCAACAAAAAGGTAAAAATTAAAGAAAAACCCTAGTATCCAATGTAGCGTAATGAAATGAAATAGATGCAGAAACAACACAAGGATAGTCTATATGCCCTATTTGCTCATGGTACCCGAGCATCTAATGGAGCCGAGAAAGTAATTGTTATTTATAGCAGCTAATAAAGCGTATGATGTGCTCTGTATGAAGAAGAAAAGGGTTTCACTGCTTGGCAAAACACTGTGATATTCTCACGCAAACACACTAAAAATTTGCCCCCCCCCCCCCCCGTGCACATGCTTATGTTTGAAGGTAGATTAAAAGGCATATAGTGAAACATTGAAATTAAAGAGCATCAAAAAGCTAATTTTATGCTAGAATACATACAAGTGGACTCACTCAAGCTGGGCTAGAGCCGTGAGTCCTATGAGTAATATGTCTGTGAGATTGTGACCGAGTGAGTCCGGCTGAGGAAAGTATTTGTGAGTCTGAGTGCGAGTAAGATATATTTCGTTAGTTAGCCTGAGTAAGCCCCAATTTCGTTCGCCGACTTTTGCTGCCTGCAGTGTACAACAATATGTCAGACAGCATAACGACATAGAAGCAAGAACGCCTTACTGATACATTATCTGATAATATTGGAATGTGCACGAACCAGTAGCAAACCTAACTGAAGGAAAAATAGATTACAATTACTGATTTGGAGTGATAAACTTAGAGTGCATAAATTGGCTAAATAGATGCATCAAGCTAAACAGAACAGCTTTAATTCCACAGTGTGTGCATTCTGCAGTGGCTGTTTAGCTCACGATTGCTGGAACATTGCTGTTTGAACACAGTTCTTGAAATCATGAAAGGCTTTAAATTGCATGCGATATGAATAATTGTAATTTAGAACACATGAGAAGAAGGCACTATATGTATCTATCGATTTCTTTTTTCTTCTGAACAAGAGTAGAATAAGAACAAACAGCAACAAAAAGGTAAAAATTAAAGAAAAACCCTAGTATCCTATGTAGCGTAATGAAATGAAATACATGCAGAAACAACACACGAATAGTTTATATGCCCTATTTGCTCATGGGTGCTAGAGAATCTAATGGAGCTGAGAAAGTAATTGTTATTTATAGCAGCTAATAAAGCGTATGATGTGCTCTGTATGAAGAAAAAAAAGGTTTCACTGCTTGGCAAAACGCTGTGATATTCTCACGCAAACACACTAAAATAGCCCCCCCCCCCCCCCCCCCATATGATGGATGCTGGAATGTAACACTTTATACTTGCAGTTAACCTAGTTTGGTAAAAACTTATTTTAATTTATTTTATTTTTATCATAAAGAAAATCGTAGGGCTATACAGACTCTATAACCCCTGCAAGAAAAAAAAAAGTTGATCAATCTCACAAGCACTTTATGTTCTTATGTCAAATTTGCTTGTTATTCATTATTACTTTAAGCAAAAACAATAAAAGAACAACCTGCAAAAAAGAAACAATGTACAGGCTGAATCAACTGCTAATAGTACCCAGATGTTCATAAGCAAACGCACTTTTTCTTACATAATTTGTACAAATAAAAGAACATTTTAAGCATACAACTAATCATATTTACGTTACTTTGCACACTTGGGTATAATTCTGAACTGTCATATTGGTACGTATAATTGTAGACAAAGCAACCGATGTGGGTGTGCACTTTTTGCACGGCCTTGCCATCCAGATGACAGTGCAGCAGGAAGCGTGGTGAAGACACAGCAGACAGTGGGAAGTGCAGAGAAAACGCAGCAGAAAGCAGTCCCGCCAAGCCCACCAGTGGTGACGACGGTGCCAACGTCTTTCCAACCAGCCATGCCCCCTCAGACACTGACCCAGAGCCAGGCACCTCTGCGGCCGTCACCATTCGAGCACACCCAGGTGTCGAGTGCCTATTCACCCGGTGGCACGCATCCGCCGCCAGGTGTGACAGCAACAGTGGCGGCTCCAGTGCCTGGATCCTACGCATCTCAGTTTCCACCACCCATGCAGTCGGTCTATCAACCGCCACCGATGGGAGCACAGCACCAATCACAGCCACCACAACAGTAAGCTGGAGTTTGTTTGGTTTGGCTAGGACTTCCTACATGCGCTGTATTTGCTGACCATATTTTGTCTGTACACACCATCATGTGTAATGAGACATTACACATAGTGCAGTCGAATACCTTCGCAGCGAATGCTTGTATAAAAAAATATGAGCTGTATAACTTGGAATTTCTTATGTGGTGGCTACACTGTGAGCGTTAAGTTGTGTGGAATATACAAAGAAGTAGTCTATGTAAAAAAGGCAGACGTTTGGGTGAACATGAAATTCGAGGAAATGAGAAATTTGTGACCATATGATGTCGCTGGAGCCATCGTTTGGACAAGCGAACGTATCCTCCTCAAGGCTGCAACTGCTGCAGCTTTGAAGAACACGGGTCCACTTGTCAAAATGTCGTCTTTAGTGACACACCATGTTCATGAATTTTTCATCTGCATAATACAGTATTCCTAAGGTATCGAGCACTTAACTATAAAGACATTTAACCATGATGACCTTTGTGGCACATGCTGTCTGTGTACGTTTACATATTTAGCTCTCCCACAAGGGCTATAAATACTTTTCTGACTGCTGCATGTTCATGAATTTTTCATCTACATAATACCGTATTCCTAAGGTATCGAGCACTTAACTATAAAGGCATTTAACCATGATGACCTTCGTGGCACATGCTGTCTGTGTACTTTTACATATTTAGCTCTCCCACAAGGGCTATAAATACTTTTCTGACTGCTGCTTGGATGCCTAATGGATATGAAGGCTCGAAAAGGTAAGTAGTGTGTCCTACGAAAGGTGTGTGCTCAGGCCAACTTAAGAAAAGTGTGTATTTCTCATACACCCTCCTTTGCGTTTAGTGTGCTTCCAGGATTTTAGCGAACATAGAAGCCGCCTATTAGCTCTTGCTTAACAGTTTCTCACACATGCTTAAAAGTGTCATGCAGGCCTACGCGGCCTCCGAGATCCACTTTGGCAGTGCAACGAAACATGTTATGTTAACATAAGGAAAAACACCAGGGCACAAAACACCAAACTGCGAGTGCCACAACCAGACACCTAGACCAAGGGTTAGAGTTGTCCCCAATTTTCTTTCTGTCATGCTTTGTATAGGACACATTAGAAAGTTTTGCTGTGACCGTGAAGTGTGGTCATTTACTAGAGCTTGATTTTTCTCATTGTAACTTGGTCTGTTTCACTCCACCGTACTTCCAAATAGAATTTTAAAGCGGTACTACTTTCTTTTTAACTAGTGACACAATTAGTTTTTGTGTACATCTTGTGTTGTCTGACCTTGCATGAATGCATGTCAGCTTTTTTTTTTTGGGGGGGGGGGGGGGGGGGGGGCTGGCTAACGCTTTAGTTGGGTATTAGTAGTGATTTAAACTTTTATGACAATTGCATGGCTCTAATGTTCAGACAGTGCTTGTGAATATTTTTCTTGCGTATTAACCTGCTTTTATTAATAATGCATGGCTCTAGGAAATGAACGTTTTTGGTTGTGAGATTGTAACAGTTCATACATTTTTTGTCCAAACTGTATGCTTTGGTGTAAATCAATATTATGTTTCTTACCATGCTTCTCTACCTCATGACTGGCTAAGCGCATAGCATGTGCATTGACACTGTGCTTGTTTTTTGCGTGCTAGTGCTGTTAGCATACCTGCATATTGTTTCAGGTATTACACAAGCCAACCTAGCCACACCTACCCTGCATACTCGTAAGTGCTTGATTGCCATGAAAATAACAGCTGTGGTGGCATTTGGTTTTCTTCTGATATTAAGGGAACCCCTTGGGATTGGTGAATAAACACATTTTATAAACAGCAAGTATGGCTATGAACGGTTCAGGTTAATTTTGTAGTCACGCGCAGCATGTAGATTTTACGAGCAAAGTGTGAAGTTTACGCTTCTTCAAGCATCATTTTTTCATAGAGAGGCATCCTCGCTTTCTTAAAAGCATCTGGCCTGGACTCTAATTAATCTTTCGGGAGGATGCTGCTATTGGCTGATAGCTGACATGCATCAAGAATGGCGTTTGGATTAGATGTGCTTCTTGCCATATTGGGTGCTGGCACTGCATGTTATATTGTGCAGAAATTACACATTGGCAACACTACCATGCACAGGGCAACGCTGGGAGTGAGTGAGCGCACGATGTGTGCTCAAGTTACACTGTGTGCTCATCTACACTGTGATACACTGTGTGCTCATCTGGATGAAGAAAAAGAGGAAGCGTTTAAAGCATGTGACAAATCCTTGTAACTTAGCTTGTTCCTGACAGATTCTAAAGATTTTTGTGCCAGTCGATTTGTGAGGCCATTAACCTCGGTACTAAGGTCATTTGATGATTACTTCAAAAAATGTTTTCAGGACCCCTATAGGCATTTAAACATTGGTGTAGCCAAATCTCAGCTATAGATGGTCAGCTGACATTGTTAAAGGGGCAGTTTTTGCTGCTCCTATAGCAAGAGGTGACTAAACCCATGTCAAGGCAGGTGAAGTTTATTTTTCTTTCAGCAGTAAAGCAACTTCAATAAAAAGAAACAGATGGCTAAGCTAGCAGACACTGGACATTTCGTGCCTGTGTACTTGTGTCTTTTGTCACCTCGAGCCACTTGATCGTGCTAAACCTCAAGTAACAGAAGGGCCATTTGCATTAAAAGCTTCGACATGCACTAGCTTGTATGTAGGAACTGCACAGAACATGGCAAAGCACCGTGCAGGTGCCTATCAGAATGTCAGCTCTTCCAACCACAGGCAATTTATTTGGAAGTGAGAGAACCGTGCAGTGTTCTTGTGAATATTGTGGAAATATGAGATAGAATTATCCAAACGTGCAATTATGAGACTACCACATTGTGTTGCTACTGGTCTGGTTATCAAATGTGGTATAGACTCTGATCATTTATGTGAGCAAATGACATTGATTTCGCACAAACTACATATATAGTCAAATCCCTTCACAAGAGACACTGGTGTAAGAGACAAAAGAGGTAGAAGAGACTACATAGGTGAAATGGAAGTATGTACATCAGTGCATATATGCTAATTTTGAGGCAACCGCACTGATTACTGCTATAAAATGTTGTGTGCAGACTTATGCAACAAATGGTGAAGAACTTTGCTGGAAAGACCTTATTGCTATGTATAGTTGTTGAACGAACTGTACGACTGCAGTGAATGGTTAGGCCATGTTGACCTATTTGGTCCCAAATGAGAAAAAGCCATGATAATCAGGTGAAGCTCTTGATAGAAGGTCAATTGAACCCAGGATGGTAGTGCAAAGTTGGGGAATAGAAACTACTGAGCACATAGCATGGTTAGGTTACTGTGTGGGCTTCCTCTCACTTAATCAGAAGTGTTGAGGTACTGTCAACATGCTCGGTGATGTCTGTTAGTGTTATTGTGTGCCATGATTTGCGAGTGTAAATGTTTTACCTAGTGAATGCGTGGTATGTTCATGGGTACATAATCCTCGAATGAGAAAATGAAAGGCATGACACGCAAGAAAAAGAAAGTACCGCTGGTTTGTTGGCATTGAGCAGAAACAACACGTAATGTTAGTGTTCTTTCTGTCGCCCTTTTTTTCTTCCATTTTTTTTTCTGGCCTTGTACCTCGTTTGTTTCACTAAAAAAAAAATCTTTGTTTTCTTTGTCTTAGCACTGGTTCAGGAGATCAGTCCTTCTCAGTCTCCCTTCCTACGGACTACGACCATAACCTCCCACAGTCGCCATCTGGCAATAGTGGCATGTGGGGTTGGTTTAAAGGCAATGATTTCCTGAATAAAGTTGCAGAGAAAGCCAAGGTGGGTTGTTCAGTGTTTTGTTTGTTTAAGCTTTCACCTGTGTATCCCTTCTTTGGTTAGTTATATAAATGCTTATACTAAATTAAACTTGAAGGAACCTACTTTGACCCCTGAATAGGAATAAAATAAGTTCCCAGCAAAGTCAAATTAACCTTCTTTTTTTTTTCTCGTTAAGGCCTCTGCTGCAGCAAGTTCTAAGCAGCCGACCAATATATTCTCGAACTGTGTGCAATTGCCAGCAGCACTACTGTCAGCTCTGTAAAATTGATTATGTAAATGTTCTATGAGAAAACAGCATACAAGGCTTTTGTTGAGGTAATGAATAGTGGCGAAGGAAACTTGTGGTGATGTAATGGGTTCTGCTCGACTTGCGAAACAGAAAATGTGGCCATCATGAACACAGGTGCTGTGATTCAAGGGTTTGCTTTGCTTTGATGGGATATTAGACAAGAACCGTTCCTTTCGTGGTGTACGATAATTTTCGATGTTGTGTTTTCACTGGACTGAAAAATGGTTCAATTTGGTGATGATACCATTGTCATCACAACACTCAGCCCAACGTTTGACGCTTTGATGACAAGCAACAGTGGCAGAATAGGTGCAGTAGCTTCGCTTAGCTCGCATTACTACAGTTCTTCAGACAATAATTTCTAATGGTTTCGTTGGCACAGTATCGGAATTGTGGTTGCTGATTCTGAAGTTCATCAAAAATTTACTTAACATTGCTGGTTTGAGTTTTTTCCAACTGCAGTATTATTTAAATATTCTTGTGGCATCTTTCATCTAAAAAAAATATTTCAGAGCCTATGCTTTGCATAAAACATACTAAATTAAACTTGAAGGAACCTACTTTGACCCCTGAATAGGAATAAAATAAGTTCCCAGCAAAGTCAAATTAACCTTGTTTATTTTTTTTCTCGTTAAGGCCTCTGCTGCAGCAAGTTCTAAGCAGCCGACCAATATATTCTAGAACTGTGTGCAATTGCCAGCAGCACTACTGTCAGCTCTGTAAAATTGATTATGTAAATGTTCTATGAGAAAACCAGCATACAAGGCTTTTGTTGAGGCAACGAATAGTGGCGAAGGAAATTTGTGATGATGCAATGGGTTCCGCTTGACTTGCAAAACAGAAAATGCGGCCACCATGAACACAGGTGCTGTAATTCAAGGGTTTGCTTTGCTTTCATGGGATATTAGACAACAGCTGTTGCTTTCGTGGTGTACGATAATTTTCAATGTTGTGTCTTCACTGGACTAAAAAATGGTTCAATTTGGTGATGATACCATTGTCATCACATCACTCAGCCCAGCGTTCGAGGTTTTGATGACAAGCAACAGTGGCAGAATAGGTGCCGTAGCTTCGCTTAGCTCGCATTACCACAGTGCTTCAGACAATCATTTCTAATGGTTTTGTTGTCACAGTATTGGAATTGTGGTTACTGATTCTGAAGTTTGTCAAAATTTTTCTTAACATTGTTGGTTTGTGTTTTTTTAAACTGCAGTATTATTTAAACATTTTTGTGGCATCTTTCAATTAAAAATAATATTTCAGAGCCTATGCTTTAGCATAAAACGTTGAATTTAAATTTGAAGGGACTGACTACTGATTTCTCAGACTCAGTTTTTTACAGTGCAACAAAAAGTTTCTCCTCAGTAGTGGCTAAACTTGTAGTAGTTGATATTAGAAGTACTTGGATATTTTGTAAGAATTTCTCGACCTGAGGAGCCGCTAAAAAAAGTAGAAATGCCTCCTCAAACAATGCTGGAAATTGATAGAAATTTCGGTAAAATTTCTCGCATGCTGTTTTTACACTCAACATGCAACTTTGACAAAAGTGAGTGTAGCGGTTGCTAACCACCTCTATTTTGCCATTTTCAACCGTTTTTCAATGTGAAAAGCCGGCAAAGCATCGTCGTTGTGTGAAATCCCTTTGCCGCCTCACAAGTCGGGCGCTTGTGGTACTGCAACTTGCTTATAGGTGCCCTTAGTGCCTCAGCTTACTTTAATTGCTACTCGCGGCCTCCGCTGGAGCAGAACGCGGAGGCCACGTGGTGCCGCTCATGAGCGTCGGATCATACATCAAGCGAAGGTGACGCCACTCTTTTGCTCACTACAAACAAAGGCGCATCAGAAGACTCTAGGCTAGGAAAGATAACAGAAAAAGTGCACTCTACCTCAACTCTGATATACAGAGCATTAACCACGTGCACCAGTAAAAGGTCATGTGATCTTTGCTCTTTTTTGCCACATGAGACAGCAAAATTATATAAATATGAATCCACATCTAATGAGACAAACAGGGCCCATTTTAGTCAGTATGTGATGTAGTCTTTTCCTAAGTAGGATTGTATAAATTCGTGTTTTGAGCAATTGTCTGTCTCTTTAACAAAGAGTCGGTGCAACAAAGTAAATCGGCGATTTCACTGACTTCATAATATAGAGGTTTCACTGTGTTTATTTGTACATGGAATTAGAGCAATATAGAAATGCAAAGCAAAGTGTGTTAAATGTTTATTGCTTGATGCTAGGAGTTATTTAACTGTGGAGCTAAGACGTTAAGTGCATGTGCATTCTGGGCCTTTGTTCTGGTTGGAACTTCACAGTGTCGAGAATAACCACCTATGATTATAAACTGAAGGATTTTATTGATTTCAGAACTCAGTTGACTCGATGATCACCACGCTGGACCCAGGGATGAAAGAATTTATTTGTGAGTGCCATAACATAAGCATCTCTTATAGGCATTTTCTACAGATATCACCGATAGCTATGAGAAGGGGATATGTGCTTGCCAACCTTGATAGGAAATTTAGTCCGATTTCTGAGACTTCACTTGAGTAGTTGTGCTTTGTTTCTGCTTTCATTTTCCCAAGCTTTGTAAAATGCACCTTTTACCCTCCCAATATGTCTTGCAGTGTCTTAATAGTGAAGTAAAGAAGTGTGAATGTAAGGGCTTGTTTTCTTTATTAGACACAATATTAATGAGACCTAACAGACAACTGATGCCAAGGAGAAGTATAGGGGATGCTATTAGAAGTAATTGTAATGTAAGTGTGAGGAAAGGAAAGTGCACAAAAAGATAACTTGTCATTGGCAGGCAGTGAACCTATGGCCTTCGAATAACGCGTTTGATGCTTTACATATGGAGATAAGGTGGCGGTCATCCCTTCATCCACTTCATAGGCTATATATGTGCTCTCATTGACAGATTTTTATAGTGTCATGTTTAAATTGGCAATGGTTGTCGTCTCTTGAGAACAGAGACCTCGTTGACACATGATAACTCTCGTAATAGCCTACAGAAGGCGTTGTGCGGGATGTCACTGTAATTTGACCCTTTGTGTGTAGTGTGTGGGAGACTTGTAATGAGTTGCTGTGCCAAAAGAAAATGTTACCATTATTTGTTAAAATAAAATATCTAGAAGAGGCTACCAAAACTGTTGAAAAAAAAAGAAAAATTTTAGAGGGATTGCATTGCTCCATCTCCTTACTCTAGTAAATATTCTATTCAAGAAAATGTACCAAGTCTTCTATTGCATTTTCACGCTGTGACTTTTTTTTTTTTAAGTTCATCTACGCAGCTTCACTCTGTTTTTCAATTTCATTTGAAGTTCATTTATGCGACTTAACTCTGTTTCATCTTTATCATTTTTTTTTCCTTCAACGACAGATTCTGGTGGCGACATTGACATTCTTGTTGCCTCCCACGATGACCTCCGCATCATTGGTCCTGTCCGTGAGGCTTTCCAAAAAATTTTTGGAAGAGCTACAGTGACAGGTGTTACCATGCCTCCCTCCAACATGGCACCCCAGCCTGTTGGATTTGCAGCCGGCCTGAAAGCAGCTGAAGACAAGATCACATCACTGCAGATGACAGGCCGCATACCTGCTGCCCAGCCCATCCTGGCTGTCGAAAGCTTTATAGTAGAGCTCACACCGGACAGGTATGTGTGCCGTACTGATCATTATCTGTTGCGACTCTCCCCACGGTGCTCTAATGGTTACGGTGCTCGCCTGCTGACCTGCGGATCGCGGGATGAAGTCCTGGATGCCGCGGCTGCATTTTCGATAGAAGCAGGAATGCTTGAGACCTGTGTGCTTTGATTTCGCTGCGTGTTAAAAAACCCCAGGTGGTCGAAATTTCCGGAGCCCTCCAGTATGGCATTTCGTAATCATATTGTGATTTTGGGACGTTAATCTCCATCAATTATTATTACAGTAGACTCGAGATGATTCAAACTCTGATAATTCATACTTTCGGTTAATTCAAACAAAATTCAATTCTCGGTTGGCCCTCTATTCTTTCAATGTATTCAAAAGCCTTTTTATTCAAACTCCATCATTCGGTTGATTCATACTTTTTGCACTTAGGTGCCAGAAAATATCTGCTGCTTTCCCACAACTATTTAAAAATTTGTGTGCCTATATAATTCCAACAGTCAAGAAACAAAAGATAAGCCTGAGGCCTTCAAGGAAAAAGGCTTTGCAAGTAAACAAATGTTTGAAACAAAGCACACGCACGGTAAACCGTGATTCTTCTCAACTGGTATATAGAGCTTTGTGCTGAAGGCACATAACCTATAGTAATGAAGCAGTTGGCCATTTCATGATTTCCTTAAAAGGTCTGATCAGCAGTAAGTGGCCAATGAACTTGTGAACTCTGCTTGCTGTTCACTGCGTGCAGTTAGGCTTAAGAACGCTTACAAAATTTTTAAATACGATAAGATCAGGACCTCACCCACAGTCATCTATGCGAGAACGTCTGATAAATAAACTTACTTGCATGTGTATATTGCAGCTACTTTTTATGCATATCAAAGAGTGTACCTAGGATCCAAATCCTTAGCTTTACTTTATATGTTTGGAGTGATGAATGAATCACAGAAAGCCACAGAACAAGACATATGCTAGATCTCTGAATGCACTTCCGGTCCCTTTTCCCAGTAGTTCCGGCTTTAAATGCACAATGCTCACACTACAACGTGGACATCAAATAAAATGAATGATCAGGCTTTATTTACAGTGACCACCAGTTTCACTATTGAAAGTTGCCATTCAACTTGGTCTCACGAACTTTGAAAATTATTAATGCAAAAGTGGGCACTTTACCATAGCTGAATTTGTGGCCCATTTCATAGCCGAAGCACTTGTATAACTTACTAATGTCATATCTGGCTGCGCCTATGCATGAGCAAGGCTGGCTGGTCATGCCAAAAGTTAGTGACCCCGAGTTCTGTGACATGTAACCTGGTGGAGTCCATGCATCCACCTTAATAATGCCCTTCATGCACAGGGGGAGCTCGAGTGAAAGATGTGGTTCACTGTGGCTGGTTGACTGCACGTGGTGCTTTCTGACGTAGCTCTTTCTTTCTGCCATAGTTGTGTTTGTATTACCTACTTGTTAAGTGCATTATGCATAGTATTGCCTATAAATGGTCATCTGATTGTTCACAAGAGTTCCTGGAAGTCTGGGCTCATTGGTATTTGACAAGAACAAAAAGAAGACACGAACTGGATAGGCTTGAGAGAGGCACATACAGTATAAACACAGCAACTAATTTATTGCTGATTGCTTCTCCCCTCTTTTTATCCATGCAAGGCATTATAGGGCTGTTTGGATATTTACATAAATAAATCAAAATGAACTCGAAGTGAAGAAACAAATAATAAAGCAGCTGTGTGATCACTTGCTGGCAAGTGATCATTTGATGAGGCAGTGTTCACTGCACCTAGGATGATTAACTCTTTTGGCGCTTGTGTCCTAAAAAAAGACATGAAGAAATACCGTAATTACTCGAATCTAACGCGCACATTTTTTCCGGTTAAGCGAGTTCATAAAATCGCATGCGCGTTAGAATCGAGTACGAAAAAAAAAATGAATACGGTCATTCTATTGCCATCAACATTCCAAAATGGCCACCCCCTACGTGCGTCAACATGGCGTGTCGGTCATTTCTGCCTATGGGTTTTGCATGTGCAGCACTTCGTACGTGTGCTGAGGAGTTCGTCATCTTGGTGTGCATTAGCATCGACGGCATGCAAGGGCCGACTTCAAAAACTCGACGAGTGCACCACGATGCCGCTTTTAAAAGAAAAGTCATCGCGTGTGCCGAAACTGACGGAAATCGGGCTGCATCGCGGTCGTTCGGAGTTCCCGAAACGTGCGTGCGGGACTGGCGGAAACAAAAGCAGAATATTGTCGACAGCAAAGATTCACGCAAAGGCTTCAGCGGACCACAGCAGGGTCGGTTTCCGCAAATTGAAGAGCTGCTCGGCGAGTATGTGATTGAGCAGTGAGCGGCACGTGACGACAGAACTGCTCCAAGTGGAGGCTATGCAGTTAGCCTTAGAAAAAGGGCTAATGCGGAGCAAGTTTAAAGCGAGCAGGTGCTGGCTAACTAAATTTATGAAGAGGAAAGGCTTTTCCCTCTGAAGGCGTACGGGCCTACGCCAAAAATTGCTGGAGGAGTACGAAGAAAAGCTTCAGTTTTCAGAGGTTCGTCCTAAACTTGCGGCACAACAACGGCTCCCTGCTTGGCAAATCGGGAATGCTGATCAGACGCCTCTTTACTTCGACATGCCTGGCACCAAAACCGTCGAGAAGAAGGGGGCGAAGCAAGTTCGTGTGCTGACATCGGGCCACAGTAAAACTAGAGTGATGGCAATGCTCCGTTGCACGTCAAATAGACACAAGCTTCCCCCGTACCTCATATTTAAACGGAAGACGCTCCCGAAAGGAGTCTTTTTCCCGAGTGGTGTGATCGTGTGGGCCAACGAGAAAAATGGGTGCGCGTTGCAATCGATGTCTTACTTTTTTTTTTTTTCATCGTGGAAACCCGGTGCGCGTTACAATCGAGGGCGCGGTAGAATAGAGTAAATTCAGTATTGCTTCAAATTGTGACATAAATAACATTTGTATTCAAAGAAGTGTCTGAGGTATCCTTGGTACACCTGCACGAACATAGGTTGTGGTCATTTTTTCGCAGTGTTTTTCAGAACTCCGCAAAGAGGCAAGCAAGATGATGGAAAGGACAACGATCATCGCATCCGAATAATTGATTACATTTTGCTGATTAACTATTATCTTTGTAGCGATCACATCTTTTCTATTGTTTTTAAGATGTTCAACTGCTTGTTTATCATGTGGGTCTTTCATAACATCTTTGAGTCACCTGCAGCATCACACAACCTTCACGATCTAAGTATAGGATAACAGGGTTCCTGAATAACATGCGTGCTGATCCAGAATTGTAGCGCATGTGCCAGCTTCCTATGTCTTGCGATTTTCTTCGAAAAACCAGCTGGGATTTTGTAGCTGATTTGTAAGGGGGCTCCATTGGCAAGGTTGTATGTAATGGATCCGAATAAGCTTTGTGCGCTGTATGAATGGTGCTTGAGGAAGCTAGAAAATAATGACAATGAAGTGAAGTTTAATCGGTTTGCTCTTGCAGACATAGGCACAAAAAATTTCGCTGCAATAAAGCAGGATTCGGCATTCTACTGCTACGTTAGAACTTGCACAGCGTTTTTTTGGCAAAGACCAGGCAGAAAAGGACATGTACAGTAATGCTTACAGCTGTTCCAATGACACACACACGGTATATGTAGTAGTGGGGCACATGCATATTTATTTTGCCGGGCAACTACTTCGGGATCCGATGAGTTAAGCTTCTCCCGCTCACTGCACCGTTGAGCGCATTTGCACTCTCCTTCTCCATGGCTATACCACAGGGGCAAATGCCAGTCAGAGGCGCTATCAAGCGGTTCCAGTGCAGTGTCAGATGTAAACTGCACAGGGAAGGCGCGCACGTCGGCGTCTATATGTCTACCAAGGCTATGACGGCACTCCTCTGGAAAGCGCACACAGGCGGCGGCGAGTCGCGCGCGGCCGCGGCCGAGTGCGAGGGAGGTGCCGGCTCCGGTGCGTGACACCACTGATCGTCTGCGCAGCGCATCAAATTGCACGCACAACGGCGGCGGAGTATCATTGCGCATCCGCAGACCAGTTCCATGCGAAATTGGCTCAGCGGGGCCAGTGTAGCTAACGCTACAAAAGTGTCCAGCGAGTAGACGACGACCACTAGAATGCATTGAGATGCTGTGTATCAGGACTGCAAGAACTCGCTTTTGGACCTTTCAGACGGTTTAACTAATGCATTGTTGCCGCATGCTAGCTTTAAAAATATAAAAAGTGTTAACAGGGTTCAAATAAAAAGAATTCACTACGCTGCCACTTGCCTGATGTCCTTATATATAGGACCTGGTGCCATATTTCTTAAATATACTACAGGGTGCCCAGAAAACAGTATTTTCGTGCTCTTGAGGTAGTAGTATAGCCAACTAAGAAAAAAAAAACATTTCAAAGCCAAAAACTGTAAGGATTCTTTGAAGAAAATTTTGCCACCTTTACCAACATGACAGTTGGCTACAAAAACTCATTTCACGTTGTTCAATGTACACTAATGAAGGACACGTTAAGGCACACTGTTGATAACAACAAATTATTTTACCCAGCCAGGCTCGTATAAGTTAATAATAACTTATGCCTACCTGTACCTTCATACGCTACTTCCACTTACGATGTCATACAGATTTCTTGAAAGTCATTGCACTGCCATGAAGAGATCATACCAAAAGCAGTATATTATTGGCAGGGGTTTGTTTGACGCATGCTGGTCTTCTGCTGTGGTGAACCACATTAACTGCAGCTAAGTGTTGCGTAGTCCTCGGCAGCATATCATACTGGTGGCAAAATCAACCTTTTGACACTCAGTTCCTTTCAAGATTTAGGAAAATGAGCATAACTCTTTGGGCGGTCTCTTTCTGTCAATGACTTTGACTGCGCTCACAATTTAGTTTTCTGGATATGCTACTCTTAGTACTATATTCAAAGAAGCAAATATCGTATCTCGCATATAACCCACTGCTGCCTATAATCCGTGCTTTTCGCTTCTACAAAATAAAAAAAAATGCATATAGCCACCCCAACTTTTTAAGCACATTTTTCTGTTTTTTTTTTTTGTGCAGGCTGTAGGCGAGAAAATGCGGTGCTAGTTTAAGCCAAACCTTTACTTTGTTCTTTATGAGAAGCACTCGACTGGAATGTCTGTAGCTGCTGTCAATGGTGAATTATGCTTCATTGCAGACATATGTCGCTTGAATCTACACATTCACTGCTGCATACATTTTTTTCTGAAGATATTAGTTTGCATTGTATTGCAGTAGTTGTGCCTCAGGTGCCCAGAATTTGTGCCATCTCTTGTGAACAGATGCTTCGAGATGCATTGCGCTCTTGAATAATAGCTCTTCTTAAGCGTAAAAACTTCCCTCTTGCATTTCATTGCACTAGTGAAGTATATTGAGGTTTGCGTATTTGTCCTTTGCTCTGTTTGCAGCTGGTTTGACATGCACTGCCTCGTACTAAAGGATGACTCATGCGGAGTGTTCCTGCATACTTTTGGCCAACCAACACCTGTACCTGCAGAGTTTGTTGCAGAGATACAGGACAGGACACCAGCCGACTACCCGCTTCGTTGGTGCGGCCTTGCGGTCACTGTGGGAGAAGTGGCCAGCCCTCGTCTGGTGGTGCCACAATCCGAGTGGAGAGCCGTGCTTGGCGGCATTCCCGACGCGCAGTTGGTTAACTCTGCAGCTTGTGCCCTGGCTTCCATGTACAGAAGAGCATTGCGCCGGTGACATTGAACTCTGAACTTCCAGGTGCTTGTCTCTGTGTCGGCTTGTATAAAGAGTTGCTGTGCACCTGATATGAAGTCTGCTCGAGAGGTAGATGTTACGTATACATCGCATGGGCAGTAATTCGTGCCTCGTGATAATTGAAACTTTAAGGACTATGGTTGCACCTGTGTGGAGCATTTATGAAAAATCTGAGTGGGCGTGGTATCCAAGAGAAGGTGGCACATTCTCAGGCAAAAATTCTTTAAAATAGGCACTCGTGTAGACCTCTAGTAACTGCTGTTAACTGGTAAATTATTCTCTATTGCACACTTATATTGCAGCTTGACTCTATAAGTTCACTGCTGCAGTTTATGTTGGTGCAACACAACATGCATTTCTCTGCCTGCACATTTAATTTTTGTTCATAGAACAACATGGTGAGATGTCACAGTTCAGTGGTCGCACTGATTTGTATCAGTCATTTTATGAAACATAATGTCAGTATTACACACCACTAACACGAGTGCAGGCGAAAACTTTTATCACTCTTGACAAGCTACACTACTCATAACTTGTGCATATATGACTGCTATAACCACAGCGCAGAGTTGGAAATTAGCAGCAGGCACGAATAAACGCACATGGGAAAAGCGCAACATTATTTAGAGTGCAAATTTCACTTATGATTTTGTCCACATTGAGGGCTCTGTCTTTGAATATTGCACATGGTACAGCAAAAATCATGTAATGCATGCAAGTAGAATAACTTTGCTTGAGGCAAAATTTTTACTCGCATACTTTGTCTCATTTTGCTGGAAGCAGAATTGCAGTGACATGGCAAGTACAGATCTTGCTCTTATTCAAAGTAACCAATGAGTATGTTAGTTTTAAGTGTTCAATGGTCGGTACACCATAGCATCATGGTGCACTATAAAAGAAAGCAGTGCAGAATGTTTAACACTGCTAGGAATGAATGTAGATGTACAATGTTACTAATGGTTGTATGTGGTCTTACTCTTTCGTCATTCATATATTTTGTAGGCATGGTTTACGGGTGTGCTTTTGTTGTATTCACGATTTTCTGAGAATAAGACGTGAAAGCTCCACTTGGTTGTGAACAGAGTGCAATTTCTTTTAATCTTGTCAGCTAAGCTGAGGCGCATGCCAGAGCCAATCATCTCGCAAACATACTGGAGGAAGAGAAAGAATGAGACAAGTTGAGACAATATTTTCTGTGAAATGGCACGACTCAAAGAAATGGATATTGAGTGTGTTTGAATTTGAGATAAAAAAAAATATATTCATGGCCTCCTCGATTTTGCACCTGTACAAACTACAACTCAACAGTAGAGTTGAGTTGTAGAATACACCTTTGGAATTTCACTTTACAAGAACACTCTGAAAACAGTTTGCAGTCTTGAGGAGTCTTTATACCACTACAGTTGTCACCTGGCTTGCTTCCCTTCCTAAAAACTTTTTGCTTGCCAGTTTCCTTTGAAGAAAGCTATGTCGCGCCATTTGTGATCTGGAGCTACTAGACACGTGGTATGACGATTATTTTTGTGGTACGAAATGATACCTCGGAGGTTGCAACTTTTTTTTTTGCCACGTAGCTAGATCTGTAAAACCAAGTTTTCCAGAAAAGAGCTAAAAAAAGAAAGAAAGAGAAGGGGAGCGAACACTGCTGTCTTAAGCTCCTGCTGCAAATACCCAAGACTACAATAGATTTTGGTAGCAGCTACACGGGCCTAGTTATCAGTTTAATAACAACATGCAACATTGCATTAGAAAATGTCCAGTCCAGCAAAGCTATCTGAAAAATGTGAAAAACGCCACCAAATCTGTATTATGGTGATATCATCAAACGGGTCTCATTTTCTTCTTACTTGTCAACAATTTTACATTCTGCTAGTGAATAAGTGCTAGAATGATAATAGGCTATTGAAAAGTAATTTACTAAAACAATATAACTTACTAAATTACTAGCATTTCTCCTTGGTGTCACTGCATTTGCTTATAGGCCATTGTGTGTAATGAAGTAGAATGTGCCTATAAGTGTGAATTTTTTGGAGGGAGTGTACTTGCAATGTGCTGAGACATGGCTCATAAAAGCATAAGGAAATGTATGAAGTGGGTTGGGTAACTTAGGTGAGCTCAATAGCTTCAAGAGTACAGTGTACATTATAAAGTTGTGTGTTAACTATATCGCTATGTAGGTAGGAGTGTTGGTGTAATTCTATCATTTAAGCAGCCACTGAGGACTTTTCTCCAGTTCAGGACTTCAAGGTCTGTGGCATGGCTTGCATTAAGATACATCGAAAACTCGTCAAGCATTAAAGCATTTCACATAATGTTTCATGCATTCTTAGCAAGAGTTTGCACAGTAAACTTCTATTAATGTCGATGTCACTTAATTGGACTTGCTTAATACGAATGGACAGAATGATGTAGATAGCACATATACATTTCTTTTGAAGGAAAGCCTGCTTAATCTGAATGCAAAACCGTGCTCCTTTATTGAACTTGACTTGCACCAGAATGCCCTTTCATGTGCAGCAATTATTGAAGCTTGGAAAAACAAGATATTCAACAAGCAGAGCTACTTTATTGATATGATATGTGGGGTTTAACGTCCCAAAACCACCATATAATTATGAGAGACGCTGCAGTGGAGGGCTTCGGAAATTTCGACCAACTGGGGTTCTTTATCGTGCACCCATATCTGAGAGCACTGGCCTTCAGCAAAGCAGAGCTACTGGTTTTGTCATGGCCAATGCCTGTTCCATTCACAAAGCCACTCATTCTTTTTTTTTTTTAAGTCATTTCGCTTCCATGTTCAGCAGTCTGTTTTGTTTGTTTATGCGTACTGAGTGATAACTACATGGCAGTGTAGAAGTAGAAAACTGGATTCTTCAGGGTGTGTACATTAGTGTTTAGAGCAGAAAACAGATAGACGATAAACACAGCACGAAGAAAAAACGTGCTCCTGGCACTCACAGAAAACAGACACATTGTCACACTATGCATCTCCCCCGCATCAGTTATTTTAATGGCCTACGATTACATTTTCCAAACCTCACCAACTTGCCTATGAAAAAGTGTTATCGTACCTAGTAACCCGACTCTTCTTGTGATGCAAAATCGTCAAACAAGAGCAGAGAAGATTTCTGAAAGTCTGATTATTTCAAGAATATAAGTGCAGGTCTAAAAATTAGCATTCTTATGTCAGACGGAAAATGGCTGATTCACTGTGAATGTTTGCCAACCTTGCATGTGTATCGTAGTTGGCTTTGCTACTGCTGAGCTATAGACCAGTGTGCAGACTTGTTTTCTAGCATAAGGAGAGCAAAATGAAAGGTTTGTAAATCAATCGCCAGCATACTGTGTTTGAAAGCAACATTACGAAACGTTTAGGAAGGGTCTTCAAATTAAATTTCATTATCAAAGGCTTTCTTATTAACCATTTGGATGTAGCACCAAGAGTGTTTTAAAAATTGCCCATCATAGCAAACAAGGCTCTACAGTGAGAAATAATGTTGTGGAACGAAGGTACAGGCATTTAGTTTTATATAAAGTATGGCGTTTCTAGTGTGCGACTATATTGTTAGTGTTCTTTACACACCGCTTTTGAAGTATAAAAGTGCAATGTGTATATTTCACAAATGCCTTTAGGCACATTTCATTTTCTACATGGTTGGCAATGACATTTCTGTTCATGTAAAATCTATTACTTTGTACGTTTTTTTCTCTTGCTTCCATGGCAAGTTATTAAACATTCAAAAGACCATAACTGAGTTATAGTATTACGTACACGGATGAATTGTGTCAACATTGTTGTGTACTGTCTCGCTATGGTTTTGTGGTGATATTAAGGTTGTAAACCTTTCGAGTGCCAGGGGTGAGCTTTCTTTTTACAGCTGCTTCCAGCGTTGAAGTGTGCACTCTATTAATAAACTGCAAGTCGAAGAAACCAAATAAAGAAAAGCGTGTCATGTGCCGATACTTCCTCTTGTGGAATATTTGCGGAAAGAAGTTCGCTCAAGTGGTCAGTGTTGTGGTATGCAATATCATTCGCTCGCATGCGAGTGCAGTCACTAGCTCTGTATGCCACGCTGTAACCAACAAGTGGCTAAGAAGTCGGAGCGCAAATTCCGCCTATAGGTGAAGCTATGTGCAAATCTTGGTCGCAAGCTAGCTGACGAGAAAATATCCAGTGAAAAACTGCTTGCAGTGTTGTCGCACAGTGCCACTGAAACAGTGCTCCTGGCATTCCATACATTCTTATTGTCAATGAATAAAGCAGTTGTCATAGGCAATGTTTCTGACCCTATTGTTTATGGCATTATAACACAATCTACAAGTACCAACTGGTGATCCACTCATGCAGTCTTCTGCGCCATCTGCTGTATCGTAGTCATGACTTGATCGGCTGAGAGCCCAGAAAGTGAGCATGACTCTCTTTTCCAAATTCTGAAAGCAGAGCACACTTATGATATCGCATATAAATGACTCAGCGACTTATTTGAGCAACTTAAGTGTTCATAAAAAATTCCATGTATCACATAACTGATGCATGCTGGACTTGTCCGTACATACAAAATTTTTTGGATAATGGTGTACTGTACCCGAAGGCAGACTCAAAGGAGCACAAAACAAACACATATGTGAAAATTTCAAGAGCTAATTTTTAGTTGCAGGATAACAGCATACCTGTAGCCTTCACTTGACCCTAAACAAAACGTGTTCCAAGCAACAAGGCAACATGCACGAAATATGTCTGGGCTTATGTGATAAGTAATCACATCAAATTATAAAATTGCAGCTTTATTTCAGTTAATGATATAGATGGTTTGTTGATACATGTGTCATTATTGATGGCCAGGCGATGGAGTTCAGTGATGAACCTGGCCACTTGACACTTTTACATATATTTTTCAGCTTTTAACAAGTTAAACGGCCTTCGCAGAGAGACCAGACCAGGATGCACAGAACTGACGTGTGAAAATAAACCCCAAGAAAAGCTTGAGGAATGTGCAACTGCTGTCATTCCCTGGATTCCAACTATCTGCAGAGGTAGCTGCGTGAGGCAAACTGGCCGATGCCTCATTGATTGATTGATATGTGGGGTTTAACCTCCCAAAACTACCATGTGATTATGAGAGACGCCGTAGTGGAGGGCTCCGGAAATTTCGACCACCTGGAGTTTTTTAACGTGCACCCAAATTTGAGCACACGGGCCTACAACATTTCCGCCTCCATCGGAAATGCAGTCACCGCAGCCGGGATTTGAACCCGCGACATGCGGGTCAGCAGCCAAGTACCTTAGCCACTAGACCGCCGCTGCGGGGCCTGGCCGATGCCTCACTGACAGGCTGCGTGAACATCGGAACAACCTTATGAAAGAGCAGCCCGATAACTATCGGGCTGCTCCTCGCAATTCACTGCAAGAAGAGTACCTGCCGCCTTTTTTACACTGATAAAGATTGTTGCAATAGTGTAGGTGAAGCGAGCAGGCTCATCACTAAAGCTCATCACGTTGCCTTCTAAAGTGACACATATATTAACAGACCATCTGCGCCATTTTAATCGGTAAATAAAAAAGAACACTGTCTAGCGTCACTTACCACATGAGCCCATGAGTTTATCGCATGAGTTATCAAGTTACTTCAAAGCACGGGTCAAGTTACGGTAATAATAATATCTGGGGTTTTAATATCCCAAACCACAACACGATTACAGGATGCGTCGTTGTGGAGGGTTCCAGAAATTTCGTCCACATGGGGTTCTTTAACGTGCACCAAAATCTAAGTACTAGAGCCTCAAGCATCTTCCCTTTCATCGAAAGTGCGGCTATCGAGTCGAGTTACGGCTGACACCGACGGTTAGCAGCAAACGTGTGTCTGTTTGTTTGCTCATGTGCTGTGTTCTGTTCACTACACATTTATTTCATAAGGCACTCCTTCGCGCAGAGCGTTTCTCCCTCTCAGCACGCCAGCAATTGCAACCAAACAAACTTGAAACAGTGAACCTGCGGAACCGAAACCTGACAAACTAATCAAATAATGTTGAGACAGTTCCAGCTGCATAAAGTCAAACGAAACCGGCAAAACGAACTTCTCAGGCACAAAGCTGTACAGTATGAATATAAACCGGCTTACCGTATCGAGCGTAAACTTTCGGTTGCACGCCACTGCATTCACGTATGAGGATTGGCAGGTTTGGGTTGCTGTTCTTCACGCTGCGGTAGTGCTTCATTACAAACTCCCTGCACGCACAGAAAAGCAGCAAAGCTTAAGTCGTAATAGCGCGACGACAAAGAGTAAAAGGCTTGTAAATCATTTTTATGTTGGGAACTA